TGACATTGGTAACAGCGTTTGGGCTTTACGGTCCCGTCGGTCAGTGAACTCTCATGGCTGGCGGTGATTGGGGTTAGGTTGGAATTTGGGGGTTCTTTTGCAATTTAAAATAGTTTATTTATTTATTTATTTTCTTTTTATCGGGCTGTGGAGATTTTGGAGGGAAACGAAGTGAGTGATGGGACCGACCGACTTGTCCGGGGTCTTATGAATTGGCGCATTTGCCCTTGCTGTCGGGTCAAAATTTCGCGATTGACCCGGGAAAACCCGATGAGCAGAATTGGCCCGACTTGATTAAAAATTTTGAAAAAATAAAAATTTCTTAAAATGCATAGCCAAACTTCATATCTACCGCTTTAAATGATAAATTCCCCATGAGCGAATTGGCCCGACAATATTTCGACTTAAATTTACTTCTGTCATTGGACTATTGTTTGTCGGTATAATGAATATGTGAATTGAAATTGTATTTTTATTTGTAATGCAAATAATATCAACAAAATATAGTTGCACTCATGACCCGGCCCGCTGGGCCTCCGTGTTGGTTTCACGTACCCTGAACCGGCACGGATCTATGCTCGTGCCGAGTTCATAACAAGATTAACTGGGCCGAGTCATCATTTTTTTTTAGAAAAACATATAGAATAATATAAAAAATTAAAAATAAAAGAAAAGGTCATTGGCCCGGCCCAGCCCATCAGGCCAGGGTCATGAAATAATGACCCTGAAACGGCTCGTCGAATATTTGATTTGGGCTGGACCCATGGTCAAAGGATTTGTCCGGGCCAGGTCTGTGCCGGGTCAGGACCGGGTCGGCGGACCGGGCGGCCCGTGGCCATGTCTACTTGCACTGTCACGCGTTCGTCTGTCATTGACTGACTGATTCAGTGTTATTATGTCTTAATTTTAATAATTTAAACGGTCTCACCTTAAATTGACAAGATTTAGAAGTTGATCTTAAACAACAATTGAGGTTAATGTGATTTGTCTTGTAAATTTGCTTTAAATCATTGTTCGTAAATGCACAATTTACATTTTATAGTTTATAATGTGATACGTTGTAACGGTGGTTGAACTTAGTATATCGAAATAAAAGGCCACATCAATAGCGTGATATGTCCAAATAGTACAAGATCTCTAGTTATCAACAGCAAAGTACGAATATTGAATCCAATAAGGCCTCTGTCCAAATGGCCCAACATATATCAACTTCAGACGAGTATGAGAGATATACGGTGCGATTGGATATGAATTGAACGATAAAAAAAATCAATTAAAACTAAAATTTAATTCAACTTCAAATCAACTTCACTATCTCTAATATTATCAATATCATTAAATAATATCAACCAATTATTCTTACACACTACATCAACTTTAATTCATTATTCATCCACTCACATAATTTAATTACTAATCAGTTCTAATTATTTTCTCCTACTTTTATATTAAATCAACTTTAATTATTTTATTTTAAATATTAATTTAATATATCTACTAATAACTATTCATATCATCTTTTTTTAAACTTAATTATAATTAACAAAAAAACTAGTTTTTTACTAATTGAATCATATCCAATCACCCATAAAGTAGATACAAAAAAATTGGTGAAAAAAATAATTATTCTAAGAATGTAAAGTGATGTGATATAAAAAGAATAATGCCGAAATGTGAAGTGACCTAAAAATAATAAAATAAAAGGTTACAATTAAAAATATGTGAATTAGATAAAAAATTATCCTTTCCAAGTTAAAATGGCCATTCAACTGGCCGGGCCGACGGGCTTCCCATGGGTTGGCGAGCCACGGCCTAGACCGGCCCGCAAAAAATCAATGGTCGGGCCCGTGAATCGGTCCTATCTCGACCCTATCCTGACTGGGCCAGGACCAAAATAAAAGAACCGGACCCAGAAACGAAAGTCACGGTGACAGTTCTCAAAACCGACAACTTACGAGTCGGTTGCAGGCCGATACAAGGGTCAGTCCAGTTAGTGGCCATGTCTATTCCAAGTGATCCGAAATTAGCATTGTGCTTCTATATACTAATATTTTAAATCACATCTCGACATTGATTATGGATAACAGTCAACGGATAAGTAGATTAGTTGTGTAATCGAAATTAATTTTTGGATTTATAAAATCATACATATATTTATTACCAAAACAGAAAATTATATTCAAATTTATAAAATGTAAAATTAGTTTAAAAAATCTATAAAATATATTGATACGCACGTGGGAAAGCTAGCCCAAAGATGTGCAAGAGCAATAATTAACTATTACTAGGAAAAGATTGATGTGTGGCAGTGTGGGTGATATGATGATGATGTACATGTGTTCTTCTATTCAAAGTTTTTGACAGTTATGAAATAAGGTAGTGGCAGGCCAAATTATGAACCATATATTATACAAAAATTATTTTTTCGAGTCTTATCGAGTAGAGTCGAGTTCGAGTCACTAACCAAACGAGCTTTAAATGAAATGAGTCGAGCTCGAGTCAAGTCGAGCCAGGCTTTATTAAGTTTTCAGCACAAGATAATTAGCTTCCATGAATACCAATAGAATTAAATTCCAACAAGTGATCAATTTCAATTCATTTTATTTTATTTTTATTTTTTCTCAACTGGATCTGTAAATACGGGCCTCTCTCATCAACACTCAATTTTATTTTTTTTTTTAAAAACTTTGATGTAATCACCTTTTAAATTATATTTTTAAATATTTATTTAAATATACACTATATTGAGCATACCATTTTTTTTTTATTTTATTTTTTTTAATAATTGATGACCTAATGCTGTAAAGAAAAATGCCCACTTGTAGATGCGAGCTACAATTGGATAATTTTTTTTATAAGATATATAGAGCTTAAAAAGAATAAATATTTTTTGTAATTCGTGAATATACGTATATATATTCATGCGTAAATACATGATATATAATTTTTTTTTAATAAAATATGATCCACTAGTTAGGACTTTAGGACATATTACAGTGAAAGCCGGGAAAAAATATTTTATAAATGGTTGTATATGCATTTCATAAGTTATTTAATTTAAAAATGAAAAATTATTTTAATAACTGATTTAAAATTATAAATTATTAATAAAACTAACAAAATAATTTAAAATAGTTTAAAATTATAAGTTGCATGCCTATTTTAAAATAGTTTAATAAGCTGAAATTCATTTTATTATTATTATTATTATTTATTTATTTTTTTCAATTGGAAATTGAATTAATTGGTTTTAAATTAGTGTTCCTTTCCATTTTTCTTCTAACCAACTATTATAAAAATTAAAAAATCAGTAAAATTATTACTTTGATCTTCATTGCGATATATGTGCCGGCCAAAGAGGCAGCTACAACCAGGAAACATGGAAACTGATTTTCAGTTTTTTTAATATTATTTATTATTATTAATTTTCGGTCACATTTTATTTTTATTTTTTGGTACAGGAACCTTCCGGTTTCCAGATCTACAGAGAAACAGATTAATTCGGAATCGAGCCGGGATCACATTTTATTTTTTAGTGGTGGGACATTTTCATAACTCATACACATTAAAATTGCCTCATTTTATAATATTGAAAGACAACATAATTACAGAAATTTAAAGGAATATCAAAAAAGAACCAAAATAACTTTTATAATTACTCCCACCAATTGATTCATAGCTTTCAAAAACTCAGAATTCACTTAAATATTATAAATACTATGTCTCGTAAAACTAGTTGATAAGCTAGTTATAGCATATCAGTATTTTCGAGCTTATAGTTTATACCATATGACTTAAAGCTAAAAAGTTAGCTTATATGATAAAAAGTATTTAATAAAATTAGCTAATAAGCTTGTTGGAATAAAAAAATTCAGCTAGCTTATTTGAAAAGCAATCTAAAGAAGCTTATCAAATAAGCTCGACTTTTAAAAAAAAAAAACTCGTCCTACCAAACAAGACTTATTTGATTACATAGAGTTATAAGCTAACCAAATAAGTTATAAGCTAGTTTATTAGTATACCAAACATAGCTTATCAGATATAAACTAACTTATTAGCTAGGTTTACCAAACATAATCGTTGTAAAAAAACAAAAAAAAAAATCCCAACTTAAGAAAATTATTATTTTTTCTCCAGCTTAAATGTTTATTTACAAAACAAAACAAGAAGAAAAAAAAAAGGAAAAATATATGGCAAAGAAAGTTACAGCCAAACAAGCCCTAATCCGATCATCAAAAGCTAAGCAGTGAATAAAAACGAAAATAGAAAAAAAGGAGGGAAAAAAAAAAAATTACTCGCCGTGACATCACGCTTCCGTCGGCGTCTCAGAAATGCTCTCCAAATGCGGCCGCCACACTCCGACGCGGCCCCGCCGCCGGTCCCTCTGAGTCGATACCCTCTCCGACAAAATCTCGCTCAAATAACGATCCGAAATCAGCAGATTCTCACCCGAATTATTATTATCATTATTATTACTATTTTTATTCGGCCCGTTCTTCTTACCGCCGCTCCTCCTCTTCGCCGGCGCCCTCGATCGAGATTTCTCCGGCGGGGGAGGCGGCGGCGCCGGCATGAGGAAATAAATCTTCCCGCGCCGGAGCTCCGCGTCCGGCGGGACCACGACGATCCTGCGGCCAGCTCCGCCTCCGCCGGACGGCGGCGGCGAGGAGGAGGGCTTCTTGAGGACGTGCTTGGGGTAGAGCTTCATGATCTCGGCCGCGCTGACGGTGCCGCCGATCTCCTCGACGCGGCCGTTGGCGTGCACGATTCGGATGACGTCGAGGGCCCCACACGGCAGAATACACGAAATGCAGCATCTGATCGTGTTTTTCATCGCCACGCGCCTTTTTACTATTCGTCCTCCTTTTTTTTTTCTTTTTCTTTTTTTTCTGTTTTTGAAGGAGAATAGTGAAAATTTTAGAAGAGAGTGATAGATAAGAGAAATTATTTTTTATTTTTCTTTTATTTTTTTATTAAAAAGAAAAAAAAAAGCAATATTATTTCTTAGATAGTGGAAGTGGGGTAGCAATTCACACCTCACTAGCAAAGGATGTTTTTATTATATGCTTTTGGGGATTTCCTTTGATTTGAACAATTTCATTTATTTTTTGAATTTTTTCTTTTTTTTTTTTATCATTTTAGTTTTCTTTTTTAATTTTATTTTAGGTTGGCTTGATAATTGGAGTTGATTTGTGTTCTTAATTTGCTCCTTTTTGGGATCCATAATTGACTCAACCTTTCCTTACCATACATTACATTGAGTTCAATAATGAGGGTTGGGTGTGGAAGGTTGGAGTCTTGTGTCCATGTCATCCCGTGACACGTGGTTCAATTAGATCTCGCCACTTGTCGAGCCAAGGGATGGTTCACACTTGCCCATTGTAGTGTGAAGGGGAGTTATAGGGAGATAAGAGTGTGAGACTATATATATAGTGGAATGTCTTAAGGTAAAAGATTTTCATTTTTCAATTTTTAAAAAGGGGTTATTTAATTCTATTTTAGTTGATCGATACGTATTCCATAGCGATATCATCACAGTCACGCATAATTCATTGATTCAATGAAATATGAATCAGAATATGACCTTCGATATATGAATTCTTATCCCGAGCAAGGTCAAATCTTTTTAATTCAATATTGGAGGTTCTAGTTTCAATTCCATGAATTGGGGGGTTTTCTTAAGTAATTTTGTTATTTTTATTTGCCAGGTCCTTTTTTTTATATATGTATTGTAAAAATATAATTAGACGACAGCACAAAAAGTAAACATCTTCATAACGAATCGAAATTAACTACGGACTCAAAATAAAATGGTCAAGTTACCGATAATTTAGTTATTTCTATAACTTTATATCGTGATGAATTTCACACTAAACTACACCAAATTTTTGTAATTGTTTATAATCTGACGGCGAAAAATTAAAATCGTACCGAATAATTGACTATTTCATTTATCACATTTACTCTAATTAAAAGTAAAAAAAAATAAATAAATTGCCAATTGATCATGTGAAGAAGGGAGTAATTAGGGACACAAATTGGGCACATTTATCCATTTTTTTTTTATTTTTATTCTATTTTTTTCCCCCCCTTAGATTGCTTGGAAAATAGGTACTAATTGTTAAAAGAATTCGTGATCTTTCATTATCCCCAAACAAGATCATGTGGATTGTGGCTTTCATTGAAAAGTGATAGGGCTTCTTTTTACTTAGTGGGCTTAGATTTGCGAAGTGCTTCTTTGACTTGTGTGAAGTTCGTTTGTCTTATTTACCATTTTTTTTTTGTGAAAATGGCTTTTGATTTATAGGAAAATGTTAATGTCCCGAATCATTCCGTCGAGGTTTGTAATCGTTAGAATTTATATAATCCTCAGAAATAACTGATCTATCGGTTACAAACCCCGACGAAATAATTTTGTAACGGGACCGTAGTGTCTTCCTGACTTATATGGGGTCACCTTGATAGTCATTTCCACTTAATCTCACACACATGAAAGAAAAAGAAATTCAAAAAGCAAAGATGATGACACATAGAAAATGGTTTATTTTCTTTAACATATATCCAATGGATCTTGTTTTTGGATTGGCTTATCTGTTGGCAAAAAACAAGTACAAGTAACTAATATAGTCGGTAGGAGGATAAAATATCATGTTAATTATTTGTGGGGTGTATAATTAAAGTTTATTAATATAATTTTGATTTTGATTAATTTCGGGGGAGTGTCTAATCAATATATTATTTATTTTTTTTTTGCGAGGGCCCCCACACCATTTAATGTGGGTTTTTAGTGGGCAACATGTGAAGAATGGGTAATTGGGGGTCCATATGAAAGGGGTTATTTACTTATTTATGCTAATTTTTAGTGCATAAAATGAAATTATCAAACTCTAGACTTTTGCAATGTGAAAATTATGAAACCCCAATTCTTGTGTTACCGACTAGTCTAGCCATGAAATTTCGAAAATTATGTGTGATATTGGACATTAGTAGGCTTGTGCCGAGCCGAGCCGAGCCGAGTCGAGCCAAGCTCGAGCCCTTAGCGAAAGAGAAATCGAGTTCGAGTTCTGCTCTTATCGTACGAGTCGAATTCGAAATTTAAAAAGCCAATTTTGAGTTTTAATGAGCTGAAATATAAAGAATTATATAAAAAAATATCTTTTTGAACTTTAACGAGGTTGAGCCGAGATGTTAACCAAACGAGCTCTAAATGAACCCGCGACGCGGTAAGGGCTCGACCTCGAGCTCGAGTTGTGTCAGGCTCTTTTAATTTAATAGCACTAAACATTAGTCACAATTTTAATTTTTTTTTTTTTTTTGAGTTGACACATATATAATGTGCCACTTTTTTTACATCGAATCAAAGTCGGTCATGAATATTATGAGGCCTTGGGCGAAATGTGTTAAATGTTGCCTTTAGTTGTTTTTTTTAAGTTAATAAAATTAAAAAAAAATGTAACTCGGAAAAAAGGCAGTCAAATTTAAAATATAAATATTGCTAAATTTTTCAAATAATATTTAAGAAATTTCTTAAGAATCACAAATGAAAAAAGAGATTTTTTTTTTCTTTAGAGAAAAAAAAAATAAGCAGTCAAAGTTCTACACTTTCATTTATGATGAATATATGAATTAAGTTTTGTGAAACACATAATACTCAATTATAATTATATATATTTTATTGTTGAAAAGTATAAATTTTTATTTTATATGTACTAAAAAAATAAAATCTAAATTGAAATTTGTCTGAAAAATAAGTTGACATCACTTAATTTTTTTATTGGCTATCACTCTCATAATTAAATTATGCAGTCATAAAATAACATTTTGTATATTCAAGCAAGAAGAAAAAATCAACATAGTATTAAAAGAACAAGAAAATATGTAAAAAAATAATAATTTTACTAATAATAACTACTATTTAATTTTGCCATGAAATTAGAAGGTGGATAGAATACAAAAAGCCTTGTTTAGAGAATAAAAAAATTAAAATCTAAAATTAGTTTTATATTTAATATTTTATTATATAACTAATATATATACACACATATATGTATGTCTGTATATATAAATATATAAAAGGAATTTACTGACAACTTTTGCATCATCATATAATATATTTGTTAGTTATTTGTTTTTCTTTTTTGTGTTTCTTTTCATAATAAAATGGACCCAATTTATCATATTTTGGTCCTAATTTTCGAAATTAGGAAATGGACCCAAAGAGCTAGTGCTTTGCGGGCCATATATTATTGGGCTTCTACCTCTCATCTTAATTGGGAAATTCTATTATTTTGTGGAGCCCATATATAATCAAGCATAAGGTTTGAGAAACCCAAATGTTCCTCAAAATTTTAATTTTATATAATTATTCAAAATAAATTGGAATTAAAACATTTAAAGAAAAAGATATTATTTATCTAAGTCTATTAAGTATATAATATGTAACAATATATTTACTTGTAATTAATATTAGTGTTTTCGAATGATACCCACTTTTGAGTTGCTTTTGCATTGGCTAACGAATGTTCCACCTATTATTAGTAGCACTATTAAATTCCCCCTAACTAAATTATTTCGATCAATTATCGTTCTTAATTAAGTGTTAATTTGGTGCACAAATCTATATGTAACTTTATTTTTAATAATGTATCACTTTTATTCTGTCCCCCTTAAGGAACTTTAGGTAAAATTAATGTCATAAACGTTGAACAGCACATCGAAATCGGTAAAACAAGTGTGTGTTTTGTGACTTTTCGTGAAAAATGAAGAAACACATGCACGTATAAAATAGTGAAATTTATGGGGACGACTACAATCCCGTAACGGTATGATTTCGTTAATTTATTTTAGATTGTTGGATACTCACAATTATTACTGGCTTTTAGATACAGGAGAGTGCACACATTGTTGTATACTCACAATTATTACTGGCTTTTATATACACGAAAGTTGTATATTAACTGCACACATTGTTTTGTAATCTGATTGGTTGAAACAATAAAGGAACTACCCCGTTACGTGACTTTAGTATTTTCCGCAATTTAGACCTTTTCAGGGTGTGATTGTATATCAATTGTACAGTAAATATCCCACTCAAAATTCAAATTTAACTCAACTCCACCATCCCCAATAATATTATCAATATAATTAAATAATAGTATTAAACAATCATTATTACACATCAAATAAACTTTAATTCACTATTAATCAACTCACATAATTTTAGTTAATCATCACTTCCAATTATTTTCACCTACTTTTACATCAAATTAACTTTAATTATTTTAAGTTAAATATTATTTTAATATATCCACTAACAACTAACCATACTACTTTTTTTCAAACTTAACTATAATTAAAAAAATAATTTTTTATTAGTTGAATTCATATCCAATCACCCTTTATCTCAAACCAAGCAAGTGGACACTAAAAAATAATGTCGTAATATCAAATGTCAACGAAAAATATATTCTTTTTAAATGATAACGATATATTAATAAACAAAACAATTACATACTAGAAAGAGTTAAAACAAATGAATGAAATAGCCAAAATTATTGAATATATGAGAACTGCTAATTATGAAAGATATTTTTTGCATAAGTTCAAAAATAAGAATAATTGAAGTCGTGTTCCTACAAGCACAAGGATTATATAAAAGGGAAGTTCATATATTTATATATACTCGTGCTCGGTTTGCTTTAATTAATTTGTTAAATTACTTGTGCTTATTATGGACATATTTTGTAGGATCTTGTGAAGGGAGGCGGGGTTGAGTGATAAGCATGCATGAAAAAGATATCAAAGAAGATGAAGGTCAATATTCACTTTCCATGTTACTTCATTGCATTTTGGAAAGAGGATCAATGGATTCGCAGAAAGAAGGAAAGAACTTGCGTTGGAAGTTCACGCCTAAGGATACTATAAAAATCCTACTTGAAGATCAATTGAAGGTTGCTGAAGCTTCACAGATTCACACCGATCAAGCTTCAATTGAGAATTCAAACTTTGTGCTATTTTCTTAGTTTTTTTTGGCAGTTTTGTGTTTGGTTGTTCTTACAACTTCTAAACACTCAAACTGTACTTTGAGTTTCTTTGTTCTATTGCTTCAAACACTTCTGTTTTTCTGAACGTTGTTGGTCTCGAGGGATCGAGAGTGTTTTAAGTCCACGGGACGTGGCCAGAGAAGTAATTGATAGGATCGTGTGTAGTTGTGGCTAGGCTAGAAGGGAGTTCAAGTCATTTACATTTTTTTTATATGTTGTTTATCTTCACACTTTATATGTTGTTTATCTTATGTATATCTACAGTATATTCGAATATGTTTTCGTTGTTTATATGTTGTTTATCTTATGTATAATATACAGTTTACATGTTGTTTGTCTGCACACTTTATATGTTGTTTATCTTATGTATATTTACAGTATATTTGAACATGTTTTCGCGAAGATAATTTGTTCGTTTTCAATCCCGATTGGAGATTTATTTTTTTCAGGAGGATGGACGTTTTTTTTTTTTCGAATTCAAGATGTGGAAGAAAGATGATTTCGTTTGAATTTTAAAATCCATGAATATCTTAATCATAGGTATCATATTTGGTAGTAATTCTTTTTTTTTTCAAATTCTGTTTTGTCTGCGGTTCATTCGGGGAATTGATTGCCTATTTGATTTATGGAGAGAGAAATCTACAATTAGGTGAGAGAAATGAATCTCGTGTATGTGAAAAATATATCACATTAAAATCCTATTTTGATTAAAGTTTGTTTGCACGGTAAAAATGTAAATATATCTTACAGAGTCTCTGTGTAAATTTTCCGCTGATATTGAGTCAGCCCAATTCACATACTAATATATGCCAGGGCCCATATTGTTATGCAAATCCGGGTCCTCATTTCTTTGTAGAAACCCAATTAAGTGCAGTTCGACAGTCAATAGGTCAAAAAGGCAAATCTTGGCCCAAGCTCAAAATGATGTTATTGTTTTTTTTTTT